CCTACGGGTGGGTGGGGGACAGGAGGTAAATTCAGGACATGATGGAGCGGGCGTGTGTATACATATGTATATGTGCATGTGCACGCACGCATCGGGAGGTTATGAGGAGGAGCTGTTGGCATCAGATTGTAAATTTCTGTCCCAGTCAAGTACCTGCATCATCAGTTTTAAGCCAATGTTCACTAGATCCACTGGGTGTGTTACCAGTTGAGTTCTCTGGAAGCAGGAAGGTGCTGAGATAAATTTTGAGGTTTACGATGTTTATTAGGGATCAAGGCCTGTGGAAGGAAAAAGGAGGCAGTAAGATGGGGCAGTGGAAGAGACTAAAATTCACTGTAGATCTGACCAAGCCTCACCAGCACTATTCAGAGTTCTTACCTGCCATGTGGAGGCTGCAGTCAGCTTGGCTGGGACAGGTTCTGAAGCAGTGACTGTTACAGTGTCGCACAATGATTTCAAGGTGCACCTGTATTATAGCATGTCTCAGAACTTCATTCCATTTTATGGCTGAATAATATTCAATTGTATGGATAGACCACATTTTGTTTATCCATTAAACTGCTGATGCATACTTGGGTTGTTTGCACCTTTTGGTTATTATGAATAATGCCGCTAGACACATTGGTATACAAATATCTGTTTGAGTCCTTGCTTTCAATTTTTTTGAGTATATACCTAGGAGGAAATAACTAGATCATATGGTAACTATTTTTAATCTTTTAAGGAACTGCCATACTGTATTTTCTATTTTTAAAATAATCATGGTTCAAATGTATGTGAAGTGGTATATTATTGTGATTTTGATTAGATTTTCCTAATGACTACTGGTGTAGATCACCTTTTCATGTGCTTATGGGAAATGTCTTCTTTAGAGAAATGTCTGTTTAAGTCCTTTGCCCATTTTTAAATTGAGTCGTTATATCTTTGTCGTTGAGTTGTAGGAGTTCTCGATATATTCTATATATTCTAGATATTAATCCCTTATCGGATATATGATTTACAAATACCTTTTCCCATTCTGTAGGTTCTCTTCACTTTTTGGAAATGCTTTTTATGCACAGCAGTTTTTAACTTTGACGAAATCTAGTTTGTCTGCTTTTGTGTTTGTTGCCTGTGCTTTTGGTGTCATATACAAGAAATCATTGCCAAATCCAATGTCATGAAGACCCCCCTTAGGTTTTCTTCTAAGAGTTTTATAGCTTTAGCTCTTAAATTTAGGTCTTTGAACCATTTTTAGCTAATTTTTATATATGGAGTAAGATAAGTATGAAACTTTACTCTTCTGCATATGTTGTATATCCAGTTTTTCCAGTGCCATTTGTTAAAGAGACTGTCCTTTCACCATTGAATATTCTTGACACCCTTGTCAAAAATCAATCAACCTTACATGAATGTTTAATTCTGGGCTCTCTATTCTATTCCATTGGTCTATATGTCTATGTTTTTGCCAGCACCACACTATTTTGCTTACAGTAGCTTCATAGTAAGTTTTGAAATAGGGAAACATGAGTCTTCAAACTTTGTTCTTTTTCAAGATTGCTTTGGCTACTTGGGTTCTCTTGAGATTCCACATGAGTTTGGGGATGGGTTTTTCTATTTCTGCAAAAAAAATGCTGTTGAGATTTTCATAGAGATTGCCCTGAATCTGTAGAATGCTTTGAGTAGTATTATAATTGTAACAATATTGTCTTTCAGTCTATGAACACAG